ATATAGCATTTTGGGCTGATTTTTATTTTTTGCAGGATCGAGCTAATTTTTGGCAGACTGACTTGTTTTGACATGAAAAGCATTGTTGCATAGTTGTTTTTGTTGATTTGCGCTTTGTTTTCGAGAAATAACGTATGTTACATGTAAATGTCAAGGTTTTTTCATTAGTTAAGTCAGCAGTACTCTTACAGGCATGAGTGGTTTTAGTTCCACGGCAACACGACAAAGACAGTCCCAGGAAAAACATTTCAAATATTGGTCTTTTATGAAGTCATGGCAGTTGTTGATACTCATCACAGTGCATGATATTAAGGACAGTTACTGTGAAACCTTGAATTAGTGCCCCTTTCGAATAAGCGCCCCTCCTATCAGCCAAAATTTAAAAAAAGTGCCCCCCTCAAATAAGCACCCCCTCCCCTCCCCCCATTTTGTGAACGAGTGCTGAGACAACAAAGGATGTTTAGTTTTCGTCATATAGTATTAGGTTTGTACATTGTTTCAGTTTGTGAACACGTTAAGTGAACGTGTTGAACTCCTTAGGTACTAACGGTGCCACAATTAAACTTTAGGATCAGCTTTTTATGTCGATAAACAGATTATGTTGTTGTTTATGCGCAGATGATGTGTTAAAAAAATGATCATGTCAGGCCACCATATGGGAAAAATTAAATAAGCGCCCCCCTTGAACAAGTGCTTCCATCTTCTCCTAAGTTTGAAATAAGCACCCCGGGTGCTAATTCCAGGATTTATGGTATGATATTACAGAAATTTAATTATGAATATGATGGTTAAACACTGATTAGCATTAGCATACACTTTTTATCAAAATAAATAAGGTTGTATTTCTAATGGAATGGCGAACCTGAAGCATTAATGACGGCATCTAGCTCATTTGTAGCAATGGTTTCAGTATATTGGTAAATTTTGAGGTAGTATTTTTTTACATTTTGCTATGCAGTTTTGAGGTTTTTTAACCTGCAATCAGGCGGTTTTTTTTGTTTTTGGAAAGAAGGAGGGAAAAGGGAGAAGGGAAAAAAAAAACTCACACATCTGAATATAAGGGAGGGAGGGTATGATCGCAGGTTAGAGGTTTTTGGACCCCTGTTTTCAAACCCCGCCCCCCCCCCCCCCCCCCCNTGTTACAGATGAACTGTGAGACATTTGAGAAAAAATTGACCAAAACACTATCATGCACTATCTATACACAGTCAAAATTAAAGAAAAAAAACTATCATCGACTATCATGAACAATTTCAGTAAGCTCAAAGTGCATGATAGTTGGTGGTCAAAGTGCACACTAAAACCATCATTGACCATCATTCACCAACTATCATTCATCGACTATCATGTGCCGTTTGACCTGCGCTTTAAAACAGATCAGCTTTGGAAATATCTTTAAAGGCGCTCAGGTAAATGTTTGAAATAATCTTGCCCCTAAATACAAAAATGTTTTGAAAAAAGTCCTACGCCAAAACCAATTCACAAGATGTTACATATCAATCAAAATCTCTCATAACTAGTTGATTTCTTTCAATGATTGGCAACTGTCCATCGATGTGGTCTACAAGCTGTTCACACAAGCTTACATGCATGAAAACTGTAGCTTTACGTTTCATCAAAAATCGATACTGATCGAACATTACGTTAAACTGAAATCGATCAAAATCGAGAGGTGGTTTCGACAATCTCAAAACGTTACTGTTTGATTTTTATCAACTTCGGCTATCGCTCGATATTAGCATGAAATCGAAATTTATCGACTCTCAACTGAATCGAACAGAATTGAATTGATGACACGTAGCTTCTTTCAAACGCATTGCTAAAAGAATAAGCTGCAACTAAAGGAATAGGCTAAGACAACCCTGAGATGAAAATTTTTAGTTTCAGAATGGATTGTGAAATAACAAGACGACTGAAGATGATGTGTTCTCACATGCCTGCAAAGTCAATATTAAATGGTCGCTTACTCCCAGTTTTTCAGATCCCAATTAAACTACTATTTAAGTTTGTCAACGCCTCAAACATTCGAATTAAAACAGGATCTTCGATTCCACAGCTTTTCTATACGTATAACTGCTATTTTATCACCTACCTTTCGCGAATCTAAGTAACAATCCCTCGCTTCGTACGACACAAACACAGTCTCTGAGCAGAACAACCCTTTCAATTTATACTAGTCAGGGGGGTAGGGTTATTAATGGCCGCTGACCTTCCTCGACACGTGTGTTCTAAAAATAGGAGCTGCCTCCTAACCTTTGTTTCCGATTCTCTGGTAGATTCTGGCTCACTCAAAGGGTTTTTAAACTTTTGTTTTCAAACAATGAGTACAAAATCCGACTGCTAGCTCTGATCAACAAGGTAAAGGGTGATGACAACTGATTGACTGAGAGCTTGATAGAGAAAGAATGGGAAAATAAATCGGTTGCGTGACATCTCATCAAGATTCGTGACACAACCATACACGTCTGTACAGGTGTAAAAATTCACATCAACCGAGAGAAATCATCGTTAAAAGCAATAGAGTCCGATTTCACAGATCTAAATTGATATCGCATTCTTCCTTAGTTATGATAATTCGACATTTTTGAAGAGGAAGTCGAGCAGAAATGTGTCAGCTAAGAACCACGGCCGCAATGTTTTTGTCACGCATCCGGAAACTAAAGCTACCGGGCAACAGGAAAATGGACAGTTTCTTTTCTTTTAACCTCACGTTTTAGATGGGTTCAAACGTTATTACAGTCGAGTATTTTACAATATACAGCATTTTCTTTAATTTTATCTCGTTTTTTTTGTTCTCAAGTGCAGCTTTCACAGCTGTTTCAAACACATTCTCTTGTTTTAGCAGAACATTCGAGATAAGCAAAGGCCTTTATTCCTGCTTTATTCTATCACATATTGAAGATCCTTCTTCGCTTTTAACAGGCTCCTGTTTCAGCTTGGATAACTTCGTCTCTGTAGTTTTGTCATTTTTCAGATCTTTCTTGTTACCAACCAAAATGACTGGCGCATTTGGGCAGAATTGTCTGACTTCAGGAACACCTATCTTTTACTGAGCAATGTTCGCTAAACTGTTGGGACGATCAATGGAGAAGCACATCAGAATAACATCAATCTCGGGATATTAGCTTGGTCGTAAATAATCAGATTCTTCTTCTTCTCTTGAATCCCATAAGGTTAACTCAACGGTCTTACCATAGCTTGGATTGAAGACACATGGTTGTCAAAAATCCGTGGGCACGTAAACCTTGGAAAATTCCCAACTGGCGAAGACCATGAGAAGGCAGAATTTTCCGTAGGCATTACCGCCTACAATGACCAGCTTTTTCTAATTACAAAGACCAGACAAACGATTACTACGGTACATTAACTTAATCCAAAAGATACCTGATATTTCAACCAGTTGATGAGATTTTTATCTCGCAGGAATCAATAAGCTGAAAGCAACCGATATTTGTTCAAATTTACAATTAATCACGGTCAATAAAAATCTATTATCACGGAATCTTAAATTTCTTAAGCTTTCCATAAAAAAATGCCATTTTCTAACTTACCTTTCCACAAACTGTTTCAAACTCTTTACAACAATCGCCGCACGAAATCCGATAAGAAAGACTGTAAAATCGCAAACACTCAGTAAAACGATATATTTCCTGTAGTTGGACAATCTTTTTTCATGGACCTACTTTTCCTCTGATTGGTCAAAAAGAAATATAATTTAAACAACCATTTGTCACGTTACTTGTCACACAATAGAATATAGGCATTTTTTACATGAAACTGGTACATTGTATCAAATTTTAAACAACAACAATTCATAGGAAAACTCATTTGTTTCGGGTAGGTATACAGCGACTTGATCGAGAGATTTAGAAGCACACAGACTTGTTCTGATCAAAGGTCGGCTAGTGGAATATACAGTCTAAGGACACTGTTCCGACAGGTTTATATAACTGTGTCTATTTTTAAAACACACGTGTGTCCAATGAAAAGCTTCGTTATAAGTAGATATGCAAAATGGGCCCTCAGCAAAACGTATCTCGGAAACGTCAATGCAAATGAAACAAGCGGAAACAGCAAGAGATTTTAAACCTTTGCGTAGTTTTCGGTGGGCGGAAAAAATCGATTTCATAATATACGGAGGGTTTATATATTGTTGGTATAGAATAGAACGGGAAAATTCTATGATGCGTAAAATCAATTGTGTTTTGACCAATCAAATCAGAGGATGAAATAATCACATGGGGGGTTTCCCCTAAGTGAGGTCAGCACCTTGAAATACGGAATTTCTCTGTACAAGATAAATTGAATGTGGCTGGCAAACTGTTCGTCATTATTTTCTGAATTCGTCGACTTTCGTCCACGGTGTCTGTGAAAGAACGTTTACTTGGTTTTTAAAGGTAGGTTCAAATTAATTCATTTTCAGACATGTTTCAGCGCTTCATTTTTAAAAGAAATCAGTTTTTCAAGAGCCTTAGCGGAATCTCGCATTTACATGTAATAATTTAAAGGGAAATAAGAAATTTATTTCAGTCAGTAAACGGTCGGAATGCTTCGCCGATACTCGGCGACTTGTGCTTGTCGTCGGCTGAACTTCGGCCTCAAATTTAATGCCTCGATCAGTCATCGGTTTCGTTAACATGTTATAAAATGTCGTTTTTTGGTTCCGTGTCAATTTGACTTATTTCCCAGAAAATCCCGGTTTTTTCATATCTCGGCTAGAATTTGAATCAAAATTGATATTCATTCATACAGAAATAAATGAAGCACATTAGGAAAAAAAGATTTGATTGTTCCCCGGAAACTAATGGCGGATTGACATTAATTTATTCTACTTCATTTGCAGTTTGAAATTCACAGCATGGCTCCCCCAAGGAAAAAGCTGGTCATTGTAGGTGATGGTGCCTGTGGAAAAACCTGCCTTCTCACAACGTTTTCTAAAGATCAGTTTCCTGAAGATCACATTCCTACAGTTTTTGAAACTGATGTGGCTGATATTGAAGTGGATGGCACGTTCGTTGAGTTAGCGTTATGGGATACAGCAGGACAAGAAGATTATGACAGGCTGCGACCTCTCTCCTATCCCCATACGGATGTTATTCTGATGTGCTTCTCAATTGATAATCCTGACAGCTTGGCAAACATCCCTGAAAAATGGACTCCTGAAGTTAGGCATTTCTGCCCTAATGTCCCAATAATTTTGGTTGGTAACAAGAAAGATCTGAGAAATGACGAAAACACAAAGAGAGAGTTATCCAAGATGAAAAAAGAGCCTGTTAAAAGTGCGGAAGGATCTTTGATCTGTGAAAGGATCAAGGCTTATGCTTACCTGGAGTGTTCTGCTAAAACAAGAGAAGGAGTAAGAAATGTATTTGAAACGGCTGCGAGAGCTGCGCTTACTGAAAACAGCTACTGGAAGGAAAAGCCACTTTTTAAACGGCGGTGGAAATGCTGTATTCTGTAAAATAAGTAACATTTGAATGTGCTTAATTTAGGAAACCTTAGTAAAATTTGAACTAGCTCGGTGGAGACTTCGATAGACTGTCGTTTGTTGAGCTGTGTTGTTAGTTAAGAAAACAATCGTAAAATGTTTGACTCGCACAAGAACTTTTTTTGTCGAGCATTGACGTAATTTTATAGAGAAGTGTTTTAAAAATCATGGTGGAGAACTTTAAGCTATTTGTGTGTAGTATATGTCCAATTAGTTCATGTCTTTTTGTGCGACAAACGTATTTTGATAGTCCAGTCACCATTATATTGCTAGTCATTGCAGCTACTAGCTTACTTTGAGTAGCAGACGTTCAATTCCAAAAGCGCGCGAAGGGAAGAAACTGCGAGTGACTGTGAAAAATTTGAAGCAGGGGGAGGGTGGGGAGAGGGTAAAAAAATGAATCATCCCTTTCCTCCCCACTCCTTCTTCCTTCTAGATCTCCTCCATTTTTGCTCACCCCCACCCTCTTCTCCCCAGTTTTTGCTCACCGGCCAAGTGAGCTCGTTTGCTCGCTCGCTCGCTCGAGTCTCCGCCTGGAAAATGGAAAGAAAAGTCTTCTACGCAGGCTGCTAATAGCTTAGTTCAAACACTTTTAAAGATGGAGCCTTTGAACTCTTGAATCCCCATTTCTTGGGGCTCAGTAATGCAAGAAAGCATTATTTCTGCTCACGTTCCCTTGAAAGAGGAAGTTGACAAGAGGAAATAACGTCAGCAATCGAACCGCATCTTTTTTTTTTTGTCACGCCACATGTTTACATATGTCACGTAGTCGTGAATAAAATGGAGAGTGACAAATCTACAAAGAGCTTTGAATAACAGCGCTGTTTAAAAATACGTTCAAAGCATTTAAGGTAAATTGTAATCGTTTTGGGTTCGGATGCATCAAAATTTTGATGACATCGCGTTAGATTTTAAGAAAAGACCTCTATCCAATGGAAAGTTTCCTTATAAGTAGACACGTAGACAGACTTAACTAAAACTAGCTAATATCGACAAATTAAATAGATAATAAACTAAGCGAGAGATATTTTGAAATCGGGATGAAATAAAAGAATTTTCCACTCTTACTTAGTACTTGCCCTTGAAAATCTACTAAACTCTTCAGAGCTGAGGTTATTTAAATTATTTATATAGCTTAATTATCCAAACTAACACATAAGTAAGTGTGTAAAATCTACAGTGGAATTTCCATTTATCGATCCCTCAGTTTTTCAAACCCCCCAATAA